CAGTGAATTAGCTTTCTCAGAGAGTAGTCATCCATTCCGTCAAGAAATATTTGAGTTTCACCCAGGAAAAATGGATATGTTTAGAAAAATGCAAGAAGTTTGATGTGATAGCGAGCTGAAATGTTGGTATTACAGTCTTACCCGAAGCCATGTTGAGAGGTAAGGTTAAGAGATTCTAAGAGTCTGCAAACTGGAAGCTCACAGTTCACGTGGTTTATTTAACGTGGTTTATTTAATCTACATTGTGTTGAACATTTTTTAAAAATTAGTTGATAAATTTTGAAAAGCAGGAGATGTCACATAAAAATCTGGCTTTCCAGATGTTCTTGGAAATTGAGAATGCCTGGAAGCACTGGGCCCACATTCTCACAAGGCTAGAGCCAGTCTGCTGAGACTGAGTTAGTGGCTGCTCCGTTCCGGTAGGGTTACTGTCTACTGGTCTGCTATTGCCCCTACTTTAGTCTTCACAATGGCCAGCTTCACTTATTCGTTGCGCCTGCCTGACTAGCACAGGCACTTGAGATTGAGACATTAACTTTGGATAGTCTATTTGGGTTAGATGGAATCTGTAGAAAGCTAAATATTTGTATTGCATACCGTGGCCCTGTTAAAACTGCTTTCAGTAGGTCATACATTTATAGGATGCCCTCAACTTTCATGGATGGTCACTAAAAGAAACAGTGTTGCAAACCCTGCCAGTGCCCTTTGAGGATCTGGTAGAGGATATTGCCCTCTACAGTACTACATTATTATGTAGCTCAGGCAAGACATTTCTTTAAAGGTTCTGAAAAGCTTTGTTTCCATGGAAGAATTTGTACATTTCTTCTCAAGGACAGTGAGAATCAAGCAACGATTGTATTTATTTTTTGCTTTAGCTCCAGAAAGCTCTAAGCCAAATTTATGGTTTAACTCATGTTGTGTATCACACCTCATTACCTGCATATTCTTGTTCTGACTTCTTCTCTGGTGTTAATCTCCTAGGCTAATTAGTTTCACTGGTCCTCATTTTTTATATGTACATTTTCTTATTTTATTGTATATATTGTAAGACATCTTAAACCATACATTTATAATCTTTTCTTGATTTATTTCATTTCTAAAGATGGCTGGAGGATGTTATTACATTTTGGTTCTCCTTAGGTGTTACTGTGGTTTCAGTTTTGAGTTTTCCTTGCTCTGATTCCCATCCACCACGTATAAAAATTACTCAGTTACACGGTAAGCTTTGACAAGGACTTTTACGGTGATCCCATTGTGCCCAGAGTCCAGCATAGGACTTACTTTCTATATAATGCCACCTGTTGTATATAATAATAACAACAGTAAAAAGTAATTTTTTATTTCAACTCCCTAGAACAGGGGTACTTTTTATCTGTAGCAACTGCTAGAAGCCTTGTCATCAAAAAGAATGAAAGATCCATGTACAAACAGTAGACTTTACACACTTTATCATAAAAGGAATGTGTTATGTAAGACTGGGTGGTATACTTTTTCTCTGGGGATTAGGAGTGGAAAGTGCCTCTATTTCCTTAATCTGCAAATTAATTTAGCTTCACTTATCTTTCTATGAATCCTTATTTAATAGCCTGGACATAGACTACATGAATTAGGTACTAGGATGGAGAGCATATAAGCAGCCAAAATTACAAGTGCCTGTGCAAAATCTTTATAGTTTAATAAAAAGAGAATCTGCAGACTCTCTACTAAGTTTACGCAAGTGCAGGAGTCTGTATATTTCTTAGATAGGGCAAAATGGAACCTAAGGCCACATTTATAGTTTGGATTAGCCACGTTTTGCTATGAAGGAAACGTTTCTTCTTAGTGTTAAGTATGACAAGACAGGCTGCTGGAGACACTTTCTTCATGACTCGATCCCAACCCCATTCTGTGGTGGCGTGGCCTGTGGTCCAGCTCAGGGCATTGTTTAATGGCTCTGTCCATGGGATGTGTTCACTACCACTTTTCTAAAGTTAATCACTTAATTTCAAGCCATTTTTTACTTTGAAAACTCTAAACGCCTCATTGAGGACAGTACATACAATGTGTGCCAAGCCCTCTGGTTTCAAAGTTCAGCTGTTTTTGAGTTATTTGACTGGACAAAATGTCGAAAGATATCTTTCACAGCAGGGAAAGTGTAATTTTCCATGTCTTTATGATGTTTTGAAATGGTTGAGGTGACATTTCTTCTAAAATTTCCATAAATAAATAACGTTCACCAGTGGAATAACTTTAATTTTGAGATGCCTTGCTTAAAAAGGTTGAAAGTAATCATCTCCCCTCCTATCCATAATCCAGTCTCCACCATTGGAGGGGAGAATCAAAGGCAACCCCGGATTAAAATCCAGACCTTTCATGTTTGGACTAAAAGAATGGAAAGTTTAAGCTTCTAAAAAGTCTCTCAATTTGTGAGATTATGGCAAATAACCTCAGTTCTATTATTTAATATTACGTGTTTTAGCAATAGTTGATAGAAGAGCTCTGGTGTCTGAGATTACACTCTTCTCCAAGTTTCTATAGGGCCCTGCTATACTTTTCTAATTGTGTTTGCATCTCACTTATCCAGGACCTTACAGTCGACTTCTCTTTTCCACTTTTTCTTTTTTTTTACTTTGTTTTCCATACATATTATTTCTGGCCTCCTGCCTCAAGACACCTGTGTGCCAAGGTAACTAGGAATACGGACTCGAACTTCTTGCAGGATTTACCTCTGTGGGCTACCAACGAGTTGTTGGTGAATATTTTTGTGTACTTTGCTCAGAGTTGTTCAGTGTGAAAATGGAACTGCCAGGAGTTAGACTTAGGTCTCCCAATGAAGACCAAACGGCCATAAGACATGCCTAGGAGAAGGTACACCTCTTAAACCTTGTCCTCCATCCTCAACCCATCCACTTGCCCACAGGTCTACTTTCCCATTTGACCCTAAGCAAATGTTTGACCTTTTGGGAGGGAGGTGGGAGGTGGGTCAGTTTCAGGCCCTTGAGTATTCCTGCTCTTCCACAGGTTTATCAAGTGTGTACCTCTGGGTCATCCCTATTTGGGATCAACCCTATTCCCTTACCACCCTATTCGGCAATTAACAACTTCTAGTACTGTTCTAATTTTTTTTCCCGAACGTGCAGAGTTTGTATTTTACAAGCATCTTCTTTGAATCGTGCAACTCTATTCACTATCACTTCTTTGCCCTGTTGATCTTTTGCCTTTTCTTCCGTACTGTCACTATCTTCCAAAGCCTGTTTGGCAAATGACCACTTCCACCGTCCACTCCATGGGCCAGTGTACGCTGATCTGCATCCCCCATTCCTGCAGGTCTCTTAGGGGAAACCGCAAAATGCCTGGTCGCTGTCCTCTCATTCTGGACTGACACTGCAGTCCATCAGCCACTTCTTCCATTTCTCGGGGCTTCCTCTCGGCCATCCACCACCTCCTCTCTTATTACTTAGGGAAGTCTGTCGAGTTGTCCCTCCAAGTCTCTTGCCCCTCTCCCCAACGCCCTCCCGGACCGGAGCGTCTCTCGGTCGGTCCGCAGCCGCCCCGGCCGGTTCTTGGGCCTCGACTGGGTGGACATGGGTCTGTCCTGCGCCGATGTTTCCATCCGTCCCCCGTCTGCCTCCAATTCGGCAGGAACTTTACTCCAGCCGAGAGGCGAAGGGCGGGTGAGTGCGGGTGCGGGTCGAGGCGCCCGCAGCGGGCGCGGGGCGCGGCGAGGGGCGCCGGATGGGGTGGGCTTGCGAGCGGGCCGGGGGTGTCGCGGGCCGCCCTGCCCTATAAGGGGCCGAGCCGCCTCCGCCGCCGGGCGGGTGCCGGGCGGACCGCGGCGGCGGCGGCGGCGGCGGCTGCTATTGGCTCAGGCTCCCCATCCGGGGACTGGGCTCGGCGCTGCTCGTTCGCCCTAAAGGTACCAATATGGCGGAGGTGAGCAGGGAAACCGGGCAGGAGCGGCCGGGCTGGAGCGGGTGCCCGGCGGCCTCCCGCGGTCCCCGAGCCGGCTTGGGGGATCCGGGGCCCTTCCCGCGGCCCTACGGGGGGCGGCGTGGCGGCGCGGGGCCGCGGGGCGGCGACGGGCGGCGGCGGGGCCGGCCGGGGGGCGGGAGCGGGCGCGGGAGCTGTCTCCCTCCGGGACTAGGCCGCGGCGGCTCCTGCCCCGACCCGGCCGGGCGACGGGGCCGGACGGGAGGCGGCGGCCGGCGGCAGCGAACCCCGGCCCGCGGACGCCGCCGTGCCGTGCCCCCGGGCAGCTGACGCGGGCCGCCGGAGCCTCCGCGCCGCCTCCTGGGGCCGGGGTGGGTGGAAACCGGCCGATCCCCCCCCTCCGCGGCCGGATTGCAAAGCGGGGAGCGGGCTGCGCCACTGCCCTGCTGGAGGAGTGTTCTGTGCCCCCGGCCCATTGGGTCCAGGCTGCGGTGCGAAGGAACCTCACGCTCTACTTTGCTCCGGGCGCGGAGGCGAGCGGGATGCGCGGCCGCTGGGCTTCGCGAGAGGCGAGCGGGACTCCCCGCCCCGCAGCCCGGGAGGTGCGGGAGCTCCTGTGGGTAAACGGGGAGGACCAAGACCCTCGACGCTCTCTCCACGGACTCTCGGTAGCCCCACTTTCCTCCGAGCTTAAGAGGGGAGGCAGGGCGAGCGGAGCTGCCCTGGCCGTGTCCCCCGGGACTAGTGAGCTTGGGGGGAGGGGGTGGCGCAGCAGAAGCCCCTCGGCAGGAGCACGCTAGGGCGAGGGGCTCGCTGGCGGGCGCGGGGAGCGACTGAACACCCTGGAAGGAACCACCATCTCTGGGACTGCGGATCCGCGTCTCCGGACGCCGGAGAGAGTATGGGGGGGGGCTTGAGCTTTGGTTTGGGGGCGAGTGTCCGGTTGAGAGCTGGCTACGCTCGGGGGCAGAGGACAGCCCAGGAATTGGGGCTACCGGGCCCCAGGAGGTGGACTGGATGCGCAGGGTGAGTCCCTTCCAGGAAAGGGTGTTAGGTTGCGAGTTGTTGTTTGGGGCCGTGGAGAGCCAGGTGGGATCTGGGGGACTCCTGAGATGCCGGGGTATGGGGGACCGATGCTGTGAGCCGACTGCTCTGGGTTGTGCTTTTCTACTTTGTAACTTGCTGAGCTCCAAGCGGAGTCTTGGAGTTGCCAGTTAGACACCGGGCTTCGTCCCCGGTGTGCGAGTTTGTACACTACGGACTCGGGGAGGAAGGCGAGGCAGCCAAGAGGGGCCCGAAAGGGGCCGGGAGCGATTGGAGCGAAGCTACGTCTTGCACTTTTGGCAGCTGCGGAGGAGCGCTGGGCTCCGCCTCCTCTGCGCCCTGTTGCCGGCGCTGCCTCTTTCCCTGGCTGCGCGATCTAACCGCACGTTTTCTTTTCTCTCCTAGGCTTCTTTTGGAAGTTCGAGCCCAGGTTTGTCCCCTTTTCTTACTTTTCAGTGGGTCCCAAAGGGTGATGGGGACCCAAAGATCTATTGCTCAATTTTTCCAACAGAAATTTGTCTTGCGAGTTTTTCATCATTTGTTTTTAAGAGGTTTCAGTGTTCATTTTGGTAATTAAGCTGTTGGAGGAAGGAACAGTTACACTCTTTTCTCACTTTTATCTGGCATGTTGAAAAAAATACTTTTGTTACAGAGCTGCTAATTGACAAACGTTCTTTTTAAGTAATAGATCTTTAATTCTCACATATTGTGTTTTTTTCTCCAAGTCTGAAACGGTTAATCCTAAATCTTTCCCAAACTTTCCACTAACTTTAGCAGTTTAATTTAGATTTTAATTTTTTTGAGAAATTGTCTCTTTAATTTGTCAGAACTTTGGGGGTGCTTATATTGATCATTAATCCTGACTCTACATCTCCCCTTGTTTTGTCTCATACATTTTTCATAATTAAGAAGTGTCTGTGGATTGTATTAAATGCAAAATTGAGAGTTACGTAAAGCTGTCCTAATTAAAAGAAACACATACTTTCTGAGTTTGGCAAAGAAAAGTGGTAATACAGAATTTTTGAGGTGAGACAACATTAGATCATCTAGGACAGTGTTTCTTAACCATTTTGGTGTTAGAAACCCCTGTCAGGATCTGATGAAAGCAAGGGACTCTGTCTCCAGAACTCTGCACATAATGGATAATTGCGTATAACTTGGGGTTTGTGGAACCCCTGAAACCCATCTATGGCAGAGACCTTTCCTCATGTGCTGAAATGTTAAGGACAGCTTTGTTTCAGTTTCTTATTCTCTTTCCAGCCCCCTTTTGGCTGCCTCTTTTCCCTCTCATAGTCTCCAGGAAAAGTACCTCTGAACTAGTTCAACTCCCTTATTTTACACTTGAGGAGACTTCTAAATAACTCTACCGAGAGTTACCTAGTTAATAGCAGAGTCTGGATGGGCTCCCAAGTCTTCTGTTACCACATGTTGCCTTAGAGTCCATTTCCTTGCATATTACTTCGTGTCTTTAGTCAACCTTTAATGTCTCACTTGATTATCGTTTAAGGTATTATAAAATAATTAACATCAAGTAGAAGAAATTTGTGGCTATTTTGAAAATAGCTATGTCTTTACATTTAAAAATTGTTTTAAGTTTCTCTAATTTTGAGACAAACATTTCTTTGTTATAGCTGATTTCAGGGAAAGAATATTTATGTACATGATGCCAAACATCTGGATGATAATGGAATTTTTCCATTTTGTATCACTGTCTGCTTTTAAGAAGTTGCAATCTAAATAAAAACAAAAAGTGTGGTTTTGGTGTTTAAACAAACTTATAACTTGTTTATAATCAATTAGCCAATTTTTAAGAACATTTTAGAACCAGAAGAGACTGGAGGTCATTAAACCAACCCTATGAATTTTATAAATGAAAAACTGGACCCAGGCCCCGATGGTTTAAATGACTTGCCTCAGGTCCCAGAAAGCCAGGGACAAAGCCAAGAGTAGACCCTCAGGCCCTTCTGTTTCTGGCTGTTATTGAATGAATACTTTCCTCTTTCAGGGGAAGCCTTAAAGTGTGCCAAGTGATACGTGGATTAGAAAGAGGGTAGAGCTCTGCTTTCAAGGAGGTAGAAAAGTTACCATCTACTTCATACCTTACACTTTGGCATACCCCAAAAGTTTCCTGGAATTCCTCAAAGAAAATTTGTAATGGTTGATGTTCTGCTTTTCAGCTATTTAACGAATATTCATCTTTCTCTAAAATTAACTTAAACTACCTATACTTCAACAGGCTTTAAAAATGAGCAGGTTAATATCTTTCAGCATTCAAAAAATAACATTATAATGTAAACCTCCTAAAGAATAGAGTCCCATAGGAATTTTATTATTTTTAGGGCTAATGATTAGAGTTCTCTGAACTCAGAATCAGAAACATTGAATTGTCTGTGTTTTTTTCCATAGTGAAAAATCTTTGGTTTAGTTCAGTGTTTTGGTAATGATCTTAATGTCCTTAAATGTTTAAAATATTAAATAGCTTGACTAAAAACACATCAAACTTTTTGTGTTGAATATGCTTCCTTCCACTTCTCCCTTTCTCCACTCCAAGATTCTAATACTTCTTTCCTTGCCTGCTCTGAGAGTGATCTAATTAAATTACATAGTAGAGTAAAACAAATGGAGAAAATCCTGTTTTTCATAAATTTGACTTCATTTTCTCAGAATTATGGATAGTATTCATTTCTCCACTTGGTTTTCAGGGTATCCTGTTGACTTCAGATTTGCCATTAAAAAGCATTACCATCTTTTTTCTTTTTTGGCCACACCACGTGGCTTGCAGGATCTTAGTTACCAACCAGGGATCGAACCCATCCCCCCTGTGGTGGAAGTGCAGAGTCCTAACCACTGGACCACAAGGGAATTCCCAAGCATTACCATCTTATAAACAAGTTGGAATTGACTAAAACAACTTGCAATGGGATACATCTTCCAAAGCTCTTAGATATGATTTTCTGTATTCCCTTCACATAACCTTAAGAACTTTATTAGTAGTCCAAAGAAAAGCATGCTTTTATGGTTTAATGCTGGGGAGCATGAAATACTGTTATAGACGTGAAAAGTGAGGTAGTGCTTTTGAAGACTGAATTGCTGTATAGCTGCTTCACAGAAATTTGTATTTGTTCTAAAAACCACATTTCTGTTGTGATTTGAACCTTTATTTGAGGGTTAGAATTTGAGTAAAGTTAATATTCCCTTCTACTGAAGTTTTTAGCCTCACTATGTAAGACTCTTGTGAAGTCTTCCTTTCATAATCCATCTCACATTTTTCTACTGCTTTTAGACAAGTGTATTAAGGAACTGGCAGTAGAACACAAGTTATTTTCTTTTGTAAATAGCCTTGTGAACCTGTAAAGTGATTCAGTTTGTTTCCTTCCAGTTGGGTCTTTGTCGTCTGAGGATCATGATTTTGACCCCACTGCTGAGATGTTGGTCCATGACTATGATGATGAAAGAACTCTTGAAGAAGAGGAAATGATGGATGAGGGTAAAAACTTCAGTTCTGAAATTGAAGACTTAGAAAAGGTAAAGGATTTTACTTTAGTATTTTAATACAAACTTATAGTAAAGATTTTGACATTCTATTATAAATTATTTATAACCTACCTGAAATAAAAATAGTATCAAAGGATCTACTGTATAGCACAGGGAACTGTATCTTGTAATAGTGTATAATGGAAAAGAATCTGAAGAAGAATATATATATATACACACATATTTATAGGAAGATATATACACACACATATATATAAATAGCTGAATCACTTGGCTGTACACCTGAAACTAACACAACATTGTAAGTCAACTATACTTCAATTAAAAAAATAGTATCAGCGTATTTCCTTTTGACCTAACTTGTACAGAAAGTTACTGATTTTCTTATTATTTTGAAGGATAGCCTAATAAGTACATTTTCATATAACTTTTAAAAATTATTTTATGTTTGTTAACCTGTTTTTAAGTTTATACCAGGACAATGAACTAGGTACATTTACAGATGAGAATATTGAGATATAGAGAACTGTAGGAAACTTAGTTCTGAATCCTAGCCCAGCCTCTTTGCATTATATCACACTGTTTTACTGAGGGGCAAACTTGAGTTTAACTAAGCACTGCAGTAGATACAGGGAGAAGTTCTCCTTCAAGAAACTTAAAATCTGATAGATTACTATAAGGAAATTGAGAGAGAAAAAGTTTTACTCTGTTTTTAAATTTGAATTAGTAATACCCTGTTTCCTTCCCACCCAGTCATCTTTTAGAAAGTCGGGAAGTAAATGTAGTTTATAACTTTTAAAACCCCAAATCAGTATAAATTCAAATGAACTGGATTTTAAACATATATTTATACCAGGAACTACAGAGAGAGGGGTTCCTTAAAAAGATTATACTTATCTGTAAATTAACCTTATTTGCAAATTTCTAATCAGCCCAGAATAACGAAAGTTTTCAGGAATAATACTGAGTTTTCATACTTCTTTTTCTTGAAGAAGACAAAGCACATTCTTAAGTAATCTCTTCTGCTATCTTTGTGAGGCAGGGCTGTGCTATTATTGCATTTCTTCTTTCATCTTAACACACAGGGAAACAGAAGCAGAGTCTTCAGGGCCTAGACCCCAGGCTTGCTCCTGTAGACCTGAAATCTTCTAAACATGTTGATTCCTTTGGCAGATTAATCCAACATGGTTGCGGTTAGATTTAATCATTAAAAAAAAATACATATATCTCCTATAAAAGCCAAACAGATTTGGGAATATAGAGATAAAATTGTTAGGAAATAATCAAGAAGAAAAGTCTTACCTATCACTTCTTTCAGGGGTGATGATAAGTTGTTGCCTGTTGATGAGAAAAGATACCCAAGAGTCTCAAGCTCTGCCTTGACTTTATTCAGGGAATTCGTTTCTACCTCTTATGAGTAGGTAGCCTAGAAAAATTGAGAATTATAGTCCAGCTAGCATTATCACTAAGCCAAGGACTGTGGTGGGTCCTGGGATGGCAAAAATGAGCAATTTGACAATGTTTCTGATCTCTGGGAGCTTATGGTCTAGTGTGGGGTGACAAATGAGAGCAAAGATTTTTTTGATGTCCTCTGCTAAGAACTATGAAAGCAGTAAGCAGTGAGAGCTATGGGAGAAAGGATTTATGTCTAGTAAAAGGTGTTTAGCCTCATGTGGAAGTTCATGGAAGGCTTCTTAGAATACATACTTCTCTCCTGTAGTTTTTTATGTCAGGACACTGCTGTGGGCTTGGTCAAAAGTCCCAGGTGGTCTCATAATGCACCTTCCTTAATTATGTGTTTGCTGTTAAAGATAGGGAGACAGCAGTCTATTTACAGCATGACGTAAGAAAATAATATAAATGTGCTAGACTGTGCTTTAACCACACAAATAGATGTTTTGTCAGTAAACTAGTAAGAATTTAAAATTTCATTTAATGTGTTAATGTAGTTCCTACTTGAGTATGGGTAATCCGGTAGAGATTTTTATGGGCTGGTAAAATTTTGTTTTTCAGATTTGTAGGTTTTATTCTCCCAGAGATTATAGTAATAGCTGCTTTAATCTGTGTGGTGAGTTTTAAAAGAAAATAGGGAAGATATAGAGAAATAATCAACAGCAAAGAGTTACTCACTTAGCTGTTCACAGAAATACCTAGTTTCTATTCCTGTGATTTTCATTTTGTTTAGTAAACTCCAGTAATTAAATCTTTGTAATGATACCTGTCACTGAATTTGTAGATTCTGAAAAATTACAGGCCTTTAAATGTTTCAACTTCTCTGTACTTAGGCAGTTTTGCTTCTTGGCGTTTTGTCGCATTCTTGGAAATTGAGACAGAACAATACAGGTGATTTTTAAACAAATTCTAGTGAAGACCTAAGAGCTGTGTCCTTGCTCAGAAGGCTAATCCTTCTCTCATTGAGCAAGGGACAAGAGGAGCTGTTTCTAAGAGTGACTGACTGCTCACTTCATCTGAACTGTGATTCTTATCTGCAGTAAAGCATAACTGTGTAGATGTGGTCTCTGTTCTTTATTGATGTTTAATGAAACATGAAAACAAAGAAAAGAAACAGTAGATAGAGACACAGATATAAAGAGTAAAAATCATTGTATTTTTAGAAGAAGTTTGAAATTATTTCTATACAATTTAAAATAATGTATTAATCTTATATTATTGGAACAGTGATTTAGGTGTTGGTACATGGTAACAGCCTTAGAGGGTTGGTGTTAATGTTTTAGAAAACTACAAGTTGTTATGCTCATAGTAAATAAATTTGATAGTCTATACATATGGCCTTTATTTTGGTGCTTACAAATTTTTAGTACATTATATGTTATGGAAAATAAGAGCGGTACAAAATCAGTTTTCTTACGGTAGCACTTTGGTAAGTATAGAGAATAGATTACGTGACAAGATTTTAGTTATTAACCATACTAAAATAAGGTTTATGTTATATCGTTCTACATTTTAATTTATTCACATTACTGTTTCCTGAGAGGTTTTAATTTAATAATCCTAGATTTAGACCTATAACTTTTAAAAAAGTAATTTACATTTCTGCCTTTATTAATATATAGATTTCTCCTCTGATATGCATTGTGAAATGAGACTTTGATCTAGGTCCTTACTGATTTATTTTTAAAGCATTTTAAAAAGTTATATGTATGCGGTTTTGCATCCAGTATTATAAGATACCAGACTGGTGTTATGTGAAAATTAATTTGTACCTCATTTAGACAGTGTCATTTGACCCATTCAGCAACACCATCAGGTGTGTCAGACAAGTATTAGCGTTATTTCCTTGGCTCAGAGGCCTTGTTGATTGTAAGATGTACCATAGATTTAGAAGTAGCATAGATGGGAGCAGGGAGGGACATTACTATGAGAAATTTGTACAGTGGTAATGAGGTGCATCCTGATTTCTGATATGTGAGGTTATGCATCATAGGATTAATGAAATAATGTGTTTTTCTATTTACAGATGAGGAAATAGAGGTGAGAGAGGTTAGGTGATTTGCCCACAGTAGTAGTTAGCAATTAGTGAGTCCTCTGCCTCTAAATATTGTGCTCTTCCTGTTACAAATCCTTTGACTTACAAAACAGTTCATTTGTAAGTGTGACTGGACTCAGATGTGTCCCTTGAAATTTAAATAGGTTCAACAAAATGCCTGAGAAATATTGTAGAAGAGAAAAATCCTCATCCCTGGGATAAGGTGCTAGATCAAACTTCTAAGCCACCACAGATCCTCAGAGACGTTGAGATTTGCTAATTCAGTTTTGAAAACATTTCTTCTGTGCTTCAAAGGACTAAGTGCTTTATTAATAGGCTCTAACAGAAAGCTCATTTGTAAAGTGCTTCAGAGACTGGATTAATCTTCTCCAGTTTTGCTTCAAAGTTTTAGTACAGATAATTTCTGTGTTTTGGCACCAGCCCCTTCTAGGGGTCATTACAGTGTCATCCTTTGACTGTATTAAGGAGGTTTCCACAAAGAAGGTCACCTTCTCCCTCAACAGATGATCATGCTTGTGTGTTTGTAGAGAAAGTAGGATTTTCGTGAATGACTACCCAGAACCTCCTGTTTGCCTCACACATGCAAACTTAACTTTTATGCTAATTCTTCCTTCCTTCTCTCCGGTCCCAAAAGTATCTTCCACATCCCAGGCTAGTCCCTAGATTCCACCCCTTTAGCCCTCAGTTTATTCTTCTACTTATTTTTTTAATTTCAGTATGGCCTCCTACTCATATATTTCCCACATTTGGAAATTCTGTTTTGACCCTGTGTTGCCCTTCAACATTCTCTTTTTATAGTGTATGTACTTTCTCCCCTCCCATTCAGTCCTCAACTTTGCTTCTCCCAACAGGTTGTAAGGTCACCAATATTCTTGATTGACAGATACAAAGAATTCATGTCTGCTTTATCTTGCTTGATCTCTCTTTGATATTTGACCCAAGTGACCATCCGTGGTTTCTCCACCCTTGCTTCTTTCTTAACTTATATAATCCTGCATTTTCTCCTAGTTCTACTTCTACCCTCTGGTGTTTCCCTCTGTAGTACTTATGGACTTTTCTTTCTTTACCCTCATTTTAATTGATGGTATTCCCCAGGGTTCTAGCTTTTGTCTTCTCACTCTGTATTCCTCTTCTGGATAACTCATTCAAGCCCAGTGCTTCGACTTTCACCTTAAATCATCTACTGTCCCACCCTCTACCCTTAAGTTTATTTGTCTTTTGTTTTGGTCTTATAATGATGCTGTAGCTATTTAACCTTCTCAGGCCAGAAATGGGCAATCCACTTAGACTCCTGTGTTACCTACATTCCCTCTATCACGTAAGTCAAGAAATAGATTCTTTAATTCCCTTCTTAGTTCAGGCTCTTATTCTTCTACTCCCCCTAGGATGTCTTTTTCAAAATGCAAATCATATCTAAAATTTTTTAGACGTGTCCCATTGCCTATAGGGTAATATATCTGAAAATTCTTCTAATAAAGCATAGATCCCCTTCTCTTTACTCTCTCCCTGAGTGAGCTCATCTACTCCTGTGGCTTTAAATATCATCTAGATGCTAATGAATGCCAGATTTATATCTTTAGCCCAGCCTGATCCTCTGAGCTCCAGGCTCTTAGCCAACTTGACTTTTCCACTTGGATGTTTCATAGTCCTCTCAAACTTAACTTTGTGTCCTCTGCAGAACTCTTTTTTTTTAAATTATGAAATTCACCGTATTCTTCTCCTCTCAAACATTTTGGTTTTTTTAATTATTTTTTTTTTATTTTTGGCTGAGTTGGATGTTTTTTGCTGCACCCGGGCTTTCTCTAGTTGCGGTGAGCGGGGCCTATTCTTCGTTGTGGTGCGCCGGCTTCTCATTGCAGTGGCTTCTCTTGTTGTGGAGCATGGTCTCTAGGCACGCGGGCTTCAGTAGTTGTGGCTCGCGGGCTCTAGAGCGCAGGCTCAGTAGTTGTGGCGCATGGACTTAGTTGCTCCGCGGCATGTGGGATCTTTCTGGACCAGTGCTTGAACCTGCATTGGCAGGCGGATTCTTAATCACTGCACCACCAGGGAAGTCCCTCTGCAGAGCTCTTAATGTTTTTCCTTCATAAACCTTTCCTTCCTTTAGTCTTTTCTACCTCAGTAAAAGTTACCACGATAGGCAGTTGCTCAGATAGAAATCTGGGGAGTTGTCCTTCTTTCTCCCTTTTACTCCAGTAGCCCATTTGATTACACCTCAGAATACATCTCATCTATTCACTTCTCTCCATGTCTGTATCGCTACCCTAACCCAGCATGCAACTCCTAAGTGGTCTCCCTGCTTTTCTCTTCCCTCTTCATCTCCCCAAACTTTTCTTCATACAGCTGCCCAGGATTTAAGAAGAAATAAAGTCATGTCACTCCAGTTTTATAATTCTCCAATGGCTTCCCATTGCCCTGGGAGTATGAAGTCCAAGTTTCTTTCCCATGAGGCCTTTTGTGATCTGCCTCTGCTTGTCTTTCTAATCACCTCTTGAGCCATTCTTCATTCTTCTCTCTGTGCTCTGGCCATTGGCTTAGTGGAAAACCATATTCAGGCCTCAAGTGTGTTGTTTCCTTTGCCTGGAATGCTCCTCACAGGATTGGTCACTTCTCAGACTTCGGGCCTCAGCTAAAGTCATTCACTGTCTGACTCTGTAACCCTATGACAGTAGGCCCTCCACATAATTCTGTGTCTCAGGACCCTATTGATTCCTTTTGCACGCATCTTAATTGGCAGTTCCATATTTGAGTATTGTTAGTATTGTTAATATTGATATTGTTAGTATCCCCCTAGTCTGTAAGTTGTAGAAGGGCAAGACCTGTGTTTCATACCAGCACCTGGCACAGTGGGCTCCTGGCACAGTCACTGCTCAGTCAGTGTTTCTGACGATGAACCACAAGTCCCTAGCACACAACCCTATCTGTTAAAAGCCTCTTCATCTTCCAAGACTTAGCTCAGTCTTTGTCCTCTGTGTGATACTTCCCTACCATATACTATTATTCCTGGAGCGTAGGTCTTCCCTTCTCTGTACCTACCATTTCATAGCACCAATTTCAGAACTGATTAAAGCAGCTAGCACCATGTTTTACAGTTGTTAACTTATCAGTTCCTTCCACCAAGACTGAATTTCTTGAGAGCAGGGATTTCTTTTTTGTTTTTGGAAATTGTATTTCTTTACCCATAGCCAGTAGTCCTTCACATGGTACCTAGAGCTCAGTAAATGCTGTGTTGATGGGAAGATGGACTGTCAGTGCATGATGAGTGAAAGTTGCCATCTCCCCAGTTCATGGAGGGAATCTGAAACTGTAAAGTTTTGGAGAAATATTGCTAACAGGTGGTTGGCAAAGGCTGTAACCAGTCTCCTCTTACAACTAGTGTGAACCAGAGGGAATGGGCTGCATGGACTCTGCAAGGAGCAGGACTGGAGAAACTCTCAATGTGGTTCTGGCACCTTCGAAGGGTTCTTTCATTTGGGAGAAGAATACTTCATGAGGTTTTCCCGTGGCATGGGTGAATTTCTGTCCATCCTGACCATCCAACTTAATTTGTGCTGAATTTGTCCATGCTCCCAAAGCAGCTTTTTACTGATTCCACTTCCAAGCTGAAAAGATTTCATGAGTGGCATGGTCATTGGAAAGGTGCACGTCTGCTACTGCAGATTCACAAATTAGCATTCTGTCATATACCTTATTCTAATCTCATAACATGAATCTGTTTCATTCAGGCATAGTGAAAAATGTAAGTTCTATACTGCAAAGGTGAAGGCCAATTCTTAGGGACCCCCAGAACCTGTGTCCCTTGTGGGCCCTGGTGGGCAGCCAGCTGGCTCTCTGGGAGACATCACTGGCTCTCCTCAGCTCACTTTGTGATCAACTGTAGGCATGTGTTGCATACTCTGCTTTCATGCTGTGTGCTTCATGACTTAGATTTTTTTTTTTAAAGGGAAAATTAAACCGTAAGCTAGTTTTAAAAGTGAATCTCTTAATAGATGGACATAAGCGTCTTTAAAATATTTAAGAAATTAACTAGTTCATGAATATATGGTTTTGAAGTCATTTAAATGATAATTATAAACAGTTCTATGCATTTTAGTGGTTGAATTAAACTACTTTAAAAAAGGAAATATAGCACTTATTTTCAGATTAGTGGAGGGAAAAAACAATGACTGGGTGCCACTATGTGGCATGGCATAAGTATTCATAACACAGGTAGTCCTGCAGCCAGAGTCTGTAATTTTATCAAAGCAGCACTGCCAGTAAGAGAACTTGGGGGCCTGGGATTCGAACCCAGAATTAAGCCTCAATTTTCTCATCTGTAAGATGGTGGTAATGCAAACTTCATCAGACAGTTGTGGGAAAAAAACAACTGGTGCAGAATATAGAGACAGTAGTAGGAATATCAAAGGATAACTGTGTCTTGAACATTAATATATAAACATAATAGTGTTAGTAAATGTTCAGCAAAGGTTTTCTCATTAGGTATCTTCCAAATAACATGAAGAATAAACCAAGTGGTCAACTGTTAATTGCAAGGAAACAAGCTAAAAATTATGTGAAGTTATTGATTGATTAATCGGAAATGTTTTCAAGGCGAATCGTTATAGTAATATAAAAGCGAAAAAAAAGTCTGCATGAAGGCAAATATTTGAGGAAGTTTTTAAAAAGTAAAATGATGCTGGAAAATGAAAATTAAGATGTTAATTGTTAGACTTTTGTTCATATATTAATTATAGCTCTAGGTGTTTGATCCTGTTTTCTGGATACAGTTACAAAAAGCAAAACTAAAACTTGGTTTTGATTTGGTCCTGCTGTTTTGATAATGTGCTTTATGAACATTAATGGCATCAAGGTTTATCTGAGGTTCAGCATTGTGGCATCTGCTGAGTTCATGTTTGTGTTCTGGCTTGAATAGGAAGGAAACATGCCTCTAGAAGATTTATTGGCATTCTATGGCTATGAACCTACAATTCCAGCAGTTGCAAATTCCAGTGCAAATAGCTCCCCAAGTGAACTTGCAGATGAACTACCAGATATGACACTAGACAAAGTAAGTACAAGCATGTAGAAAAAAATTCCAGATCTGTTACCATTGACTGTTTTTATTAGTTTAATTTAAAGCATTTCATAATTCTGAATTGTAAACTTCTTATGGATGCATTGCTCTTATCATTTTGGTGACTGATTTGAATATTGTTTGGCTTTGATCTCACTACTTTAGAAGTAGTAATAGCTTCATAATACTTTGCATATTTGAGTATTCTTCCATAACTTTTTATCTTTCCTGTGTAGACATACTGTATCTAAACTTAGATTTTGCCCTAACTTCTTTTGATCCTGTGGACACTTGAATGCATTGATTAATGAATCCCCCAGAAGTTTTCAAACCAATCTGGCTTAGGCATGGAGTGGTTGGAGAGAAGTTCTGTTTTCTTGGGCTCTGGGAGTGACAGAGACCATAGCAGCCAAGGCCTCAGTGATACATCTTTAACATAGGCTGGTTGTAGGGGAGGCCTAGTCCCTGCCAAGGAGAATTCAGTCATGGTCTCTGCTAACAGATCCCTGGGAAACTTTCCTCATCTTTCAGGTCTCAGGCAGGGAGAGGACTCCACATCTTCCTGTGAGTTATGTTGTTCCCACTTTTCAATTAAATGTGATATTAATGTACCAAAAACCTTAATGACCATAGTCATTCAGCAAATATTGAGTGCCTACTATGTACCAGGCACAAGGATGACTATATACTTACATAAAAATTAATTCTGAACTGTTTCTTTTAAAATTATATCACTGGTTGGAGTGGTGCATTAGTTGGACTTCTAAAAAATTATCGGAAGAGTGGAGTTTGGAGACTTTTTTGTTTTCTTTTAGTTATTTAAGTTGGCAAAAAATGAGTTTAATTTTTAACCACTTAGAAGTAAGATTATTTTTGTTGTAAATTCACTAAAAATTAGTCTACCGCTTCAGATAAGTTCTTTACATACCCACAAATTAAGAAAATTGTTTGTTATATCATAAATGTATAATAGTATAGCATTAATATTATATATAATTAGTAAATGTTATTAACTAATTGTGTACGTGAAGTAAATTATAGGAGAATTTCAAATTTACTTTTCTCAAAACTGAGACTTCAGTTAGTTCTTAATTGTATTATAATACCATAATGTTTATGAATAATGTTATAAAGACTTTTTTTTTCAAAATTGATGGGATGTAATCATTTCTAACCCTAGCATTGCATTCCTATTCTTATAGGAGGAAATAGCAAAAGACCTATTGTCAGGTGATGATGAGGAAACTCAGTCTTCTGCAGATGATCTGACACCATCTGTGACTTCCCATGAAACTTCCGATTTCTTCCCTAGACCTTTACGATGTAAGAAATCCAATCATTACTGATTAGTAGTAGCACTGATACTGTAGCTTGAGTACATTTTGTTACATTCAGTAGTTATGTCAGAATATCTGAGTGTTTTACTTAATTGAAATAAAATACTATTATAATCTGAACAAGATTATAACCTTTTTTTATTGGGGGAGATGTAAACTAATATGCTCTTTAAAAACGAAAGCATTTGCTTGGTTTTGCAGGGCTGTTTTCTTTCCCAAGACTCTTCTGTTGCTAGGGCAACCAATCTTAGTTCAGCCATGAAATTTTATAGACATTTTTTGGATTTCTGTTAAAAGGCTCTTACTCTCCTGATAAACTACTGTCAGTTTGAAAACTACCATCAGTTGCTCCAAAAGTATTTTTTATTTTTAGTGATTTATTTAATCCTTTTCTTTTAGTTCTTGGTGTTATCCCTTAATGTATATCAGTAATATTTAAAAGGTCTTTGAACTGAAATAATTTCTTATATGCAATCTTGCTTATTTCTCAGGTATTTTTATGGTAGAAGAACTGTTCAGATAACAAGTTCCAATACACAGACACATATGTGTGCAAAAAGATAATTTTTATGGACTCAATGTGCAGCTCATTGTGTATGTCTCACTCTGGATTAATGTAATCAGTGTAATCTAGTGCTTTACCTTCTTTTTTTAAGGGGACCGTAGTGGTTTTCCTCTTGCCTCTCCAAACTATATGACTGTACACCAGATAATTATAAGGATATTATGCACTTTCTTCGTGTTTTCAGTGTCTTGTTTTGACTAGTTTCAAAATGTGAGAATAGTACAAGAGGTTTAGTATATTTGTGCTGATCTCATTTATTCAACAAATTTTTATCATAAGTAAAATATAAAATATCAGGCACTCTTTCAAGTGCTGCAAAAATAGGCAACAAAACCCTTTTTTAAAATTTAACTTTCTTCTTTTAAGCAAATACTACGTGTGATGGAGATAAAGAATCAGAGGTTGAAGATGTTGAAACAGACAGTGGTAACTCACCTGAAGATTTGAGGAAGGTATGTTAAGTTACCATCATAATTTAGTAGACCATTTGGATTAAAGTAGCTTTTAAAAACACTTCTGAAATAATTTACGATAATTTTGTGAGATAACTTTAGATTTGTAGTAACTGATTAATGAATTGGAACATTTTTTTTCAGTATTTATTTTTGTAATAAGTTGTTTTTACTTCTAAATTTTCCTGTAGGAAATAATGATTGGTTTACAATATCAAGCAGAGATTCCACCTTATCTTGGAGAGTATGCTGGTAATGAGAAAGGTAAGGAAGCCTTTTAATTTTGATAATATTTGGTAAGCCAAATTACCACTCGATATGTTTATTTAAATATCTGATTGTATGCTCATCCTGTGAGTATAAAGACACATTTGGAGTCAGGGAAGAATTAGGCCTGACTTAGGAGTAATGTATCATGAGATTAATTAACCATGAGACTCAGAGAACTACCGCCCCCTTCCCCCCAACCCTGGCCCCTTACAGTGCTTCTTAACTCAGTATGCTAAGCACCTGTTAAAATAGTGGAGCTGCTCTTAAAGTACAGCTCTTTGGCCTACATCCCACTGCAGTGGAAGTTGGTAGCATCCTATCACCTGAGATAATGAGAACATTAGGAATATAATCCTCTTGGGAAGAAACACTTAAGGAAAAAAGAAGCTAGAAGAAATTCTCTTGCCCCAGCCCTGAAAGATAAGGTGGTAGAATGTAAAGATTCTGTTGCTTTTGTTATATACCCCTACTTAAGTGTAATCAGTTTTCCTCACATTTTTGGTAGATTCCAACTATAGCTGGTTCTGAAAATATGGAGGGGTGAGGTGGTGGGAAGTAAAAATCCAGGTGCACCTTCCTAGCCAAACTTGGGAAACACGTAGATTTGGCCGTGGGCAAAAGTACATGCTCAGCAGCTGCTGGTCCTTAGATGAAACATAGCGGAGGTAATATTCTCTCAGTTCTACACCTTCAGAAAGGAACGTATACCTTCTCTATCTTTTGAGGGAATAAACTCAAACTATATTACCTATTTCAGTTTTGACTAAAGTTTCTTTATGAAACTGGTTCCAGAAACTTACCTCAAAAGTCAGTCTTATTGCTTCACAGGCACACTTTATTTTTAACTTTCCTGCTCATTGGGAATAGAAATGCCTGCCTTATACAGTTGTGAATGTAAAGCACTTACCACCGTCTCTGCTGCATAATGAGCTCTCAGTAAATTACTTTTATTCGCTATATTTAGTAGTTATTTTACAATTGAAGAATGGAAGCAATGGGATAAATACTTGGGCTATCTGTATGACTTTATTGTGTGAAGTAGAAACCTTCAGTATGGCAACAGTGTTTGCGTTAATAAAATATACAGTTTGTTTTAGTGTCATTTGGCTTACTAAATATCAGCTTCTCTAAGAGGTGGAAAGTTTACTTATCTTACTGTTTATCATTGTTTTCCATTTTTAATTAGTCTGCTTCCTTTTTATTTTATTTTATTTTTTTGCTTTTTAAAATAAAAATTTACCTTTTGGGAAGAAATCAGTAAAGGAAAACTATATCTTTCCTAGGTATTTCAGTATTGGCAGATATTTTGATTGTTATTTATTTTTGTTTGTTTTAATTTGTTTGCAATTTTTAACCTGTAGACATTTTCATAGAGCCATTTAGGGAGTTTAAGAGAAAATTGTAATAAGTTTATTAAAGAATTTACACAGGTTATTTTTACCCCCTCATTAGAAGAATGTAAGACACCACTACTAGGTTTTATATTAGACTACTAGGCATAGAAAGCTTTCTAACTTGTTAGTAAATCCAATCACCAAAACAGCTACTTGCTCTAGTGACTGGAATACTTGCACCTTAATAAAGTTAAAAAAAAATTGTTTTAAACCTTTACTAATGAAAGACTCAGCTTGCCAGACAATCAAATTACTGGTGTCCTCAAAGTTAGTTACTTGTATAGGAAGAGGAAAAACAGTTTTGTATACATCTTAAAGTGTGTTCACTATTTTTAATGTGTTGATGGGATTTTCTTTATCAGTGTATGAAAATGAAGACCAATTACTTTGGCGTCCTGGTGTGGTTTTGGAGAGCAAAGTTAAGGAGTACCTTGTTGAGACCTCATTAAGAACTGGAAACGAAAAAATAATGGATAGAATTTCTGCAGGAACGCACACAAGGGACAATGAACAGGTATACATCAACTTTTGTTGAAACAGCAGCTAACTAATATAGTATCTTCTTGATTTTCTTATATTTGATTCAAATATTTCTTACATATGAACTGGCTATCTCATTCTGATTTTTAAAACTTGGAAAATACTGGTTTAAAAAAAATCCCAAGACCTAATGATAACCATTCTATTGTTTCATGTCTTCTGGCCTTTTTTTCTGTATACACACACATATATTTTACTTTACCTACCATGTTATATCCTTTTAATTACTTAGTCTTATTTTCTTTGCCATTGAGATTTCTTTAATACTTCATTCTTGATGTCTGTATGTTCCATTGTTTATTTAAACATTCTCTGTGGTCGGACTTTTAGATTTTATGTTAAAGTTATTTTTTGGATTATTCTTGAACTTTATTCAGGATGTGATTAAAGTTCATGTCTATTAAGAGTGTATAGGGATTCCCTGGTGGCGCAGTGGTTGAGAGTCCGCCTGCCGATGCAGGGGACACGGGTTCGTGCCCCGGTCCGGGAAGATCCCACATGCCGCGGAGCGGCTGGGCCCGTGAGCCATGGCCGCTGAGCCTGCACGTCCAGAGCCTGTGCTCCGCGACGGGAGAGGCCACAACAGAGAGAGGCCCGCGTACCGCAAAAACAAACAAACAAAAAAAACAGTGTATAAATTTGCTTTAGGAGCATTCGTTAAATACTGTGTGCTTGTAGATGGAGTACGCTCCTGATGGTGTGTGGGTTAAGGGTGGAAGTATTGCCTATTAGGGTTTTTTTCTCTCTGATGTTGTTTGCCCCTCTCATATACCTTTACACTCTATCTCCAGCCTAGCTAATCCCAGCTAATGAGTGCCCAGAGATAGGTGGACTCAAACTTGAATTTCCGAATAACACAGAGAAGTCAAACTAGCTGAACTTCAAAGTAGTTTTGTCAGCTGTCAAAAAGAAATCCCATTGGCTTTTCCTATTGATATTCCATTAAAACTATAAATTAATTTTGGAAGAATTAGTACCTTTAAAATATAAAACCTACTTCAAGAACATGTTCTGATTCTCTATGTATTTGACTTTTTTTTTAATCACTCAAATGTTTTTACTTGTTTTAAGTATCACATGCATTTAATTAATTCCTCATTATTTTTAAATACAGTATTTAGCACTGTTGTAAATGAGATCACTATTATATTTGTATTTGTATATGTTGATTTAGAGAAATATAAATTAAAAAATTTTTTTCTCAAGCTACTGAAACTATTTAATTTAGTATAATGATTTTTCAGTTGTTTCTCTTAGGTTTTCTAGTTTTAAAGTCATTACTGAATTATACGTTTGTTCCTTCCTTACCATTATTATATCTCTTATTCCTAGAACATGTTTTACTGCATTAGCTATAACTCTCAGAGACTTTTGGTAGTTACAGTGGTTTGAGGCCTGCTTTTGATGGAAGATAATACATGTAAGGTTTTTACATTAAGAATAGTACCAGCCTTGGGACTTCCTTGGCAGTCCAGTGGTTAAGACTCCGCCTGCCAATGCAGGGGGCACGGGTTCAATCCCTGGTGAGGGAACTAAGATCCCACATGCCACGGGGTGTGGCCAAAAATTTTAAAAAAAGAATAATACCAGCCTTGGTTTGATACAGGCTGTCTTTCTTATAGTAAGGTAGTATCCATCTACTTATAACCGTTACAGGTTTTGTCTTTTTAAAAATAGAAATGGGTACTGATTTATCTGAAGCTTTTTTAGCAGCTGTTTTTAATGATTGATTATTAATGTATTGATTATTAACCTATTGATGTATTAATAGGTTTACCAATATCCTTGCCTTTCTTGAAATGTACTTGGGAAGGTGGATTATTATTTAACTTTCAGTTGAGTTCTGTCTGCTGCTATTTAGTATATTCATAATTCCAAACAGGTTTAATGGGAAGAAATTCTAATTTCTAAAAAATGATATCTTCCATAGTAGATGGAAATAACTATAAACTCCAGTCACTAAAATATCCATCCTTCTATTCTAGACCTGCTGCTATTCTCTTTTATTAAAACTCTAAAAGGCAGGCAGAAGGTGCTATCAAGAGAGAAGACCATAATTCTTGACTTTTCCTGACTAGAAATAATCATCTAAAATAGGGATATTCTCCCAGCTCAGAAGGCCTGGCAATGAAAAAAAAAAGTGAGGAATGATACTGGTAGATAACTTCTGAGAGGTAGAATCAGAATGAACAAACTCTTCGGATACCAGAGTCAATATACAGGATAGTTACGTAGATTAAATGTCTGGGCAAACATACGCTTCAAATGTCCTGAAATTAGAGAGCACTTCAGCTAGTATTTGTCAGGACTCTTACAATACACCTGTTTTTGTTTGTTTGTTTGTTTTTGAGGTTTTTTTTTTAAGTATGAACTTTTGGTAAGTTTTATTGAATAGTTTTTTTTCCCTTGCCCTAAGGCATTATATGAACTTCTCAAGTGTAACCATAATATAAAGGAAGCAATTGAAAGGTACTGCTGCAACGGAAAGGCCTCTCAAGGTAAGAAACACTTGGGATCAAGAGAGGGAAATGATAGGGGATGGTCATTTGGGGATCAGAATAAGCAAAGTATAAAGGACGGAGCAATCCTATAACACTTTTGTATAAGATCTATTTTTATCTTCATAGCAAATAATTTTTTCCTTTTCTTGCCCTCTATTTTTAGACGTACCAGAGATTGTTCAAATACAAATTAGTTACCCCCCTGTCACCTCCAGAACAAAGCAGACCCCAGAGATGACAATATATCCAAAGTAATTAATAAGAATGATTTTATGATTTCATTGGGGGAAAAAAGTTGTTTTTTCTTTTTCTTAAACCAGACAGGAAATGAAAAGGAGATTAAAGATTAAAAAAAAGAAACATGTATAATATATTCCATTCAATTTATTGCAAGAAGTGTATGTTTAGTAATCATGTAATAACATTTTTGCAGTGCTTAGGTTTTGGTTTGTGTGTGTCAAGGAAAATGGTTAAGTTTAATTTCAGTATTTTTGTCATTATATAAATCAGTTGCATGCACCATAGCTTTCATTAAGTATATATAGAGTGAAATAATGCTTACTAATATTATATAAATGACTTGGAAAAATATAGAAGCTGGAAACAATGCATTTAAACTTGTAGGTGAGATAGTCTATTGAAATGTTTCCGTGTAAAAGCTGCTTCTTTGAAAAAATTACTTTAAGCTCTCAAAACTCTGAACAAAGTTTTCACCTTCGTGGTGGGCTACTCTTAATGGCTTTGGGGACCTGGTTCCCATTGTGAGGCACTTCAAGTCTCCTCTGCCCCAAGTAGATTTGATTCATCAACATTGACATCTGCCAGGAAGTTGAATGGGATTTAGTCTTTTGAGAGCATGGGCTGTTTTTTATTCCCTTTATATTCCTACAGTATAGCACTTTGCAACTGACTCTGAATAAATATGTGTTCATTATTTATGGTCTCTAATTAAAGAGCTTATGGTTTTGACATAAGACCAAAGGAAGGCTTTTTTTTCTATAAAGAAAATAACCTTTTTTTTCCCCTAATTAAAAAAATGCTCATTGCTTAAAAAAATCAGAAAAACAATGTGCTTGAATTATAGAAGAAAATATAAAATTCTTGTCTCATCATGCAGAGGAAAAAAACCCAGTTGTTTATATTTTGGTATTCTAGATTTTTTTAGTTAAGATTACTAACTAGTTTAGATTAGATTACTAACTAAAATCTCCACAAGTTCTCCACATAAAGAACTTGTCTGTGTGTGTGTGTGTGTGTGTGTGTGTGTGTGTGTGTGTGTGTGTAGAAGTTTATAGCCTTTTTATTAGGAAAACATACTGAAAGTAAATCAGTCATTTATATATATAAGAGTTTTGAGGCCAATTTATTTTGTTTTAAAATTTCTTTAGAAGAAATGACTGCATGGACAGAAGAAGAATGCCGGAGCTTTGAACATGCACTCATGCTTTTTGGAAAAGATTTTCATCTTATACAGAAGAATAAGGTAAGTTAGGCAAATTAGTATAGAGAAATTGCTTAGTAATTACAATGAATATAAGCAACTAATTTATGAGCCTCTTGGGTAGGGAATAAAAGCTATAACTTGTTAATGCTCCCCTGCTATTAACATTTCTGTTACTTTCTGATCAATTTTCTGTAAACCCAAAACTGCTCTGAAATATAAAATCTAGTTTAAAAAGCAATAGGTGGGGCTTTCCTGGTGGTGCAGTGGTTAAGAATCCGCCTGCCAACGCAGGGGACACGGGTTCGAGCCCTGGTCTGGGAAGGTCCCACATGCCGCGGAGCAACTAAGCCTGTGCGCCACAACTACTGAGCCTGCGCTCTGGAGCCTGCATGCCACAACTGCTGAGCCCATGTGCCACAACTGCTGAAGCCTGCGCACCTAGAGCCCATGCTCCACAACAAGAGAAGCCACCGCAATGAGAAGTCTCTGCACCGCAAGGAAGAGTAGCCCCCACTCACCGCAACTAGAGAAAGCCTGCGTGCAGCAACGAAGACCCAATGCAGCCAAAAACAAATAAATATAATAAATAAACTTAAAATTTTTAAAAAGCAGTAGGCATAGAATATTGACCTATCCACCTAAATATTTTAGAATCCTGTGTTCCTTAGGACAAAAAGAAAGAATAAGCAAAGCATATTTTAATGAGATTTAATTATCCCAAACTGTTAGAATATACACACACTTTTAAATAATAGACTTTATTTTTAGAGCAGTTTTAGGTTCACGGCAGAATTGAGGAAAAAGTATGGAGAGTTCCCATGTACTTCCTGCTCCCACCCACACACGGCTTCCCCACCAGAGTGGTGCATTTGTTACAACTGGTAAATCTACTTTGCCATGTTTTTATCCCCTAGTGTTCACAGTTTACAGTAGGTTCACTCTGTTGCTATAACGACACCTATCCACTATTGTAGTATCATACAGAATAGTTTCACTGATCAAAAAATCCCTTGTCATATAATTGGAATCATACAGTATGTAGCCTTTGAAGATTGGCTTCTTGACTTAGTAATATGCATTTAAGGTTCCTCCATGTTTTTTTGTGGCTCATTTCTCTCGCTTTTTTTTTTTTAAAAAATTTATTTATTTATTTGGCTATATTGGTCTTAGTTGCGGCACACAATATCTTTAGTTGCAGCATGTGAACTTCTAGTTGCAGCAGGTAGGATCTAGTTCCCTGACCAGGGACCGAACCTGGGCCCCCTGCATTGGGAGCATGGAGTCTTAGTGTGGCTCATTTCTTTTTATCACTGAATAATATTCCATTGTATGGATGTACCAATTTGTTTATCCATTCACCATTTGGAGGACATCTTGGTTGCTTTCCAGTTTTGGCAGTTACGAGTAAAGCAGCTGTAAGCATCAGTGTGCAGGGGTTTTTTTGGACATAAGTTTTTAACTCCTTTGGGTAAATACCAGTAAGTGTGATTGTTGGATGATATGGTAATAGTATGGATATTTTTTTGTTGTTGTTTTTTTGGGTTTTTTTAAACATCTTTATTATTGGAGTATAATTGCTTTACAATGTTTTTTTTTTTTTCTTTTTCTTTAAGCAAGTATGGATAGTTTTGTAAGAAACCACCAGACTGTCTTCCAAAGTGTCTGTGCCATTTTGCATTCCTACCAGCAATGAATGAGAGAGTTCCTGTTGTTCCACATCCTTGCCAATATCTGGTGGTGTCATTGTTTTGGATTTTGGCTATTCTAAAATGTGTAGTGGTATCTTGTTTTAATTTGCATTTCCCTGATGACATATGTGGGTCATTTTTTCATATGCTTATTCGCCATCTATATATCTTCTTTGGTGAGGTGTCTGTTAGGGTCTTTAGCACATTTTTTAATTGGGTGGTTTGTTTTCTTATTGTTGAATTGCAAGAGTTCTTTATATATTTTGGATAACAGTCCAAAAAAATATGTGTGAGTTTTGAATATTTTCTCCCAGTCTTTGGCCTGTCTTTTCATTCTCTTAACAGTGTCTTTTGCAGAGTAGACGTTTTTAGTTTTAATTAGTCCAGCTTATCAATTTTTCTTTCATAGATTGTGTTTGTATTGTTGTTCCTAAAAAGTCATCACTATCCCCAATGTCATCTAGGTTTTTTCCTGTGTTATCTTCTAGGAGCTTTTATAGTTTTGTAGTGTACTTTTAGGTCTTGTAATCCATCTTGAGTTTTTGTGAAAGGTGGATATAGATGTCCACTTGTTCTAGCGCTGTTTGTTGAAAAGATGATCCTTCCTTCATTGAATTGCCTTTGCTCCTTTGTCAAAGATTAGTTGACTATATTTGTGTGAGTCTGTTTCTGGGCTCTCTATTGTGTTCCATTAACGTATTTGTTAATTTTTTCACCAGTACCACACTATCTTAATTACGATAGCTTAATAGTAAGTCTTGAAGTTGGGTAGTATCTATCCTCCGACTTTGTTCTTCTCCTTCAATATTGTGTTGGCTATTCTGGGTCTTTTGCCTTTGCATATAAACTTTAGAATTAATTTGTCAGTATTTACAAAATAACTTGCTGGAATTTTAATTGGGATTTCACTGAATCTATAAATCAAGTTGGGAAGAACTGACACCTTAACAATAATCAGTCTTCCTATCTGTGAACATGGAATATCTCTCAATTTATTTAAATCTTCTTTGATTTCTTTAATCAGAATTTTGTAGACTTTCTCATATAGATCTTACATGTATTTTATTAGGTATATACCTAAGTATTTCATTTTGGCGCTAATGTAGATGGTATTGTGTTTTTAATTTCAAATATGAATTGCTCATTGCTGGTATATAGGAAAGCAGTTGACTTTTGCATATTAACCTTGTGTCCTGCAACCTTGCTATAATCATTTATTAGTTCCAGGAGGGTTTTTTGTTGCTTCTTTAGGATTTTCTATATAGACAATCATGTCATCTGTGAACAGACAGTTTTATTTCTTTCTTCTCAATCTGTATACCTTTTATTTCTTTTCTTATTGCATTTAGCTAGATCTTCCAGTATGATGTTGAATACTTCAGTGCTTTTTTGTATGTATGAAAACCTATTGTTTTCTCACAGATGAGATTAAGTGTTTAATTTATTGAAAGATGAAACAGTTGCCCTTTTAAGTCAAAATAAAATCTCAGTTTAGCAATAATTTATGAAATATATTAATTTATTTCACAAATAAGCTTTATCATTTACCAGATATTATTTTAAGCTCTAGAGATACATCAGTGAATAAGACAGGAAAGGTATCTGTTCCCAAGAAGCCTATATTCTTTTTGAAGACTTATTTATGGCTGATGTATTTATTGAAAGGTATACCTTATTTCTTGGTTTAAAAAGCTTGTTCCTATATTATGATCTTATATCACAACATGCTCACTAATCAGGATAGAGATTCTGAAATGTCCTTATTGGGTACTGATTAAGCAGGGGAGAAAGTGTTTATTGGGTAAAGATACAGAATTTTGTCTGTACATCTGAACTCATACCTTTACCTATATATAGTTAGAAGAGCCCTAGTCTGCATGTGGAGGCAAGTTGAACGAGGCTCAAATTTTATTGTTGTTGTTGTTCTTACCAAACTCTGTTGGCGCTAAGAGCCAAGTGCATGTTAAAGGAAAAAATTCTGCCTTTATCTGGCAATCATCTTAAATTCCAGATGCGGTAGAGTACTGATCCCTTTGCAAATGGTTCTTAATCTCTTTTGGGCCATGGAACCCTTTGATAATCTGATGAAGCTGCACCCTTCTCCCCAGAAAAGTATACCTGCATGAAATTTGGGGAATTAATAGATCCCAACGAAGCTCATTCATGGATCCCTCAGGGTTAAGAAGGACCCCTGCTACAGTCAGAATCACAGTGAAAGTTCAGTGAAGAAAAGTAAAGGATGTCCGTGTTTTAAGATTTTCGGTAAAGGTGTAAAAAAAGATAATTTCTGGATACGCATTTATTATTATTATTACATTCTGATTTAAAGAAAAAGCCTTGGGCTTTTGAAGTCAGCCTCATTATTAAATAGTGTAAATGTAACGGCAGTTCACTAATAAAAAGTTCAGAGTTTCATAATTGGGAAGATAGAAAATAAGACCTATGGGTTGTAAAAAATAATAGTTATTAAAAAATGCATAGAATATGTTGATTTTAAAAAATGCAACTTTTTTTGTTAGGTGAGAACTAGAACAGTTGCTGAATGTGTAGCATTCTACTATATGTGGAAGAAATCTGAACGTTATGATTACTTTGCTCAACAGACAAGATTTGGAAAGAAACGATATAACCATCACCCTGGAGTTACGTAAGTACTGTGGGATTGACTTCTGGGATTTTTGTTTTTAACTGTGATATGCAGTCATAAAATTATTGGGGTGTGTTTTTTAGGGACTATATGGATCGTTTGGTAGACGAAACAGAAGCTCTGGGTGGGACAGTAAATCCTTCAGCCTTAACATCTAACCGACCTGAGCCTGTTCCTGATCAACAGCTGAACATTCTCAGCTCTTTCACTGCCAGTGACTTGACAGGTAACATGAGCATCTTTTTGCATTTTTTACCATAGCTTGGGGCAAACTTATATCCTCTTTGTGGCATGACGTCAGACCGCTTACTTAAACCATTTTCCGTCTCTTTTTTTAGCTTTGACCAGCAGTGTAGCGACCGTCTGCGATCCAGCGGATGTGAGTTGTTTGGATGATAGCTTTCCTCCACTGGGCAGCACGCCCCGTGGACAAGTCAATCACGTGCCTGTTGGAACAGAGGAGTTACTCACCCTGCCCAGCAATGGGGAAAGTGATTGTTTTAACTTATTTGAGACTGGATTTTATCACTCAGAGCTAAACCCCATGAACATGTGCAGTGAAGAGTCAGAAAGACCAGCAAAGAGATTGAAAATGGGCATTGCTGTTCCTGAATCCTTTATGAATGAGGTTTCTGCAAATAATTTGGGTGTGGACTTTGAAAATCACACACATCATATCACCAGTGCCAAAATGGCCGTGTCTGTGGCTGACTTTGGCAGTCTGTCTGCCAACGAGACCAATGGTTTCATCAGTGCCCACGCTCTGCATCAGCATGCCGCCCTCCATTCTGAGTGACGTGAGTGAGGGGCCCAGAAACAGTGGGTGTGCAGTACCAGTACCAGGAAAGTATCAGGTTTGCTTAGTCTTTCACTGGAAGTTTGAACTTTTTTCACTATGACATCAGTGATGTCAGTATGTATAGAACTATATCTTGATTTATCAAGAGTATTTTCATTTTCAATCCATAAATGTGGAAATGAACTATGATCAGCAGAGTTGGGGACTAAGATTGAACTCTGTGGTGCAGCTTTAAGCTCTGCTTATCTCTTCCTCATCCCCAGTACCTCTTCCCCACTCCCTTCTTTTTCTATTTTCTGTTCCCCACTGCCCTCACTCCCAATTTTAAAACCTGTAGACAGAGGCCACCAGCTCAAAACCAGCACAGATGTTCTGAACTGAATGGAGTGGCCTCTATTCATGTAAATTCCTTTTGCCGTAATGGATGCAGTGGAATAACAATGTTTACAGGTACCGATCCTGATCCCTGCTCAATGTAGCATTTTTTGGTTTTATTTTCTTAATTAAATAAAAGCAGGGGTAGGTTTCTTTAAACTGCACAAACATGCAAGGATTTTTTTAAAAATGGAAACTTCTCTCATGTTGTTCAACTAGAGCACTTCAGTTTACAAAACAGCAAGTCCATCTTTATGGAAGCCAGCACGAGGAACTGCGTGCAAATTATGAAGACGCTTGCTTGGATCCTGTTTCAGAATTCTAGACCAGGGCTACCTTACACAGAATTGGTCATTTTACTGCCGGAAGATTTCTGTGTAACTTCAGTTATTGGCTAAAAGTTTGGCATTTGAAGGTGTGGTATTTAGATGGGGTTTTGTCCACCATTATCAAGATTGTAATCATAAAAATCATACCAGTCATTGATAATTTAGTTTATCCTGAGGCAGTTGACTTGCAGGGCACAGTCTACAAAGCCTAGGATGTTGCCACTCATTGGTTTACATTTTGGAACACCTCTTAGGTTTTTTTTATAGTGGTGCAGTTCAAAGTGTTAATATTTAGGAGGGATTTCTAGATTTTAGACATAAAATGCAGTAGAACCTTGAAGTATATTTAAACTTTTCTGTTTAGCTTGAACAGTTACTGGCAAGAAAAATGTGAGTTCCTATCTGAAATAGAATGGTACGTTACCACTTTAAGTTTTAAAAAGTGATTGACGTTCAGTTGCATCTCAAACTCAGTTTTATTTTTATTCCAAACATTGTGAATGAGAAGCCATTGTCTTAAACTTAGGCCATTTTTGCTGTATAGACATGCATCTTTAAGTTATAAGGTGAATTCAAACAATATGTAATGCAGTATTAGAATGTGATAAGCTTTGCTTTTATAGTTCAGTTAAAACACAGAATTTTACTTTTTTTTTTTTTTTGCACTGTCAATTAAATTTTTCAGTTTCTACTAGTTGTCTTGCTTTGCAGAAACTTAAATGTTTGGCTACATTGCTGATATTTGTAAGTATAAGTCGCTTCAAGGTTGTGCTGATGAATAGATAGAATGTAGTTACCTTAGTAGTGATGGAAAGGGAGGGTATTTATTATACAAACTGTGAACTGCAATGACATCCTTAGTTTTGGATGATGTGTATTCTTTTCTTTGCAGCATTTTAATGAAGATTGCTTTGAAGTGTTTACGCATTAGCACATTTACTATAAAAGTTAGTTTAGCACAGTGGACGAAAAGTAGTTAAATTAATAACTTAAAAGTCAGTCTCTAATTTATACATCTAAAGTCTAGCATTCCTGTATGCACACAGTAAATAATGGGTAGCCTGGGTTCTATGTTGCTTTCAGATATTTTTTTCCAAGTTGTCAGCTTCTTATTGCTGTGGTGTTGTGCTAAACTTTGAACCTAATTTCTTTTGTTAAAAATGAATACACCTATAATTTAGTAAGATACTGGCCATAATCTTCCATTGTTATAACTTTAATTTTTACTCTGGGTTTACAGTGGCTGGTCTGTATAAAATAATTTACACAAAGATGACTGAATGCTAATACCAGTTGCACTTAAATGAACATGCCCATTCTCAGTAGCTGATGCAGTAATATATTCAGTTTATCTATGCATTGCTGGGATCTTGATATAAGATGGAAACAGTGTTTCTTATCTGAAGTTTTGATTATCAGCAAGTTGAATGGACACTTTAGTTATTTAAATAAAGATTTTTGACCAAAATCCAGAAATGATATGAGAGAAAAATAATTTCCAGCTAGTTTAATGGATTTTTAAACGCCAATCTGATTTTAGCCTCTTAGAGAGCGCTAACTGGCTGGTAACGTTTACTTTTAATTCCTTGTTAAAATGAGGCAATAATTTGCAAGATTTTTGTATATATATGTAAAGTCTTCATCTCTTTTTAGATCTAATTCAATATTTTCTGACTGCTTCCTCCATGTATAATACCATTTTTGTGCATGCTTGATGTGACATTCATAAATTGTACCACTATGACTTTATTCATGTAAAATAGCTATTTATTGAATTTCCTTTTAAATCTGGATTTACTGGGTTTTTTCCTTTCCGTTTAAGCATCTTAACAGAGAATTTGTTACTGTTTATTAGAAGAATTGCGTTTGAGAGCATGAAAATAACTGATTTGCAGTCATAAGAAGAAACAATAATGCCTTTATTATCAAGTGTTAAGCACAATTCTTATAACAAACTGTGATAAATTCTTTTTTCTTTTTCCTTTGCCATATTATTTTTGTATGAACAAACCAAAAATCCATGGTGAGCAGTTGCAGTGTTGGCTGATGTGTCTTTTATGTACAGGGGGTTTGAAGAGGACAGCGGATTCATTTAGAAGTGAAACTGGTGCTGTGATTATAGCAATACTTTACTTTTGTTAGTTGTACTCCACTTTTTCATGCTAGCTTTTTCAGTGTTTAGTTTTCCTCTTGTCATGGTCAACTGCTGAATTTACTTGAAGGATGTAGAATACTGTTTAAACAATACTAAAGTGTGTACAATTAGGTCAAAGAATTGTGCAATTGTTTCCTTTTTAATTTTTACAATTGAGGGTCATAATATTTGAGAACGTCAGATCTAATAGAGCATAGTGATACTGTTTAATTTAACCAAAGTCTCTAGTGAATACTTCAACTTTGAATGTAAACCAACAAATAAACCTGACCACCAAGGAGATTGTTTGCCCAGAGTTTCAAAGCACATTGTCTACAAATGGAAATCGAAATAATTTATAAAAATATTGACATTACTATGTTTTTTAAAAAGTTCTTAATTTTTTCACTAAAAGGAGGAAACTGTTAGTTTTATTGTTAAATATGGTAGATATTAAAACTCCTCTTAGATGACCAGTGATTCCAATTGTCCCAGTTTGAAATAAGTACGCTGTGAGTATGAGATTGATTAGTGACAATCAGAACAAGTTTTAGTATCAGATGTTCAAGAGGAAGTTGCTATTGTTGCATTGATTTTAATATTTGTACATAAACACTGATTTTTTTGAGCATTATTTTGTATTTGTTGTACTTTAATACCTGATGTACAGTTCCAGAAATAAAAATCTGGAAATCTTTTTTTTTCTTGGTTCGTGTGAGTATTTGCCACAAATAGATTTTTATTTAATAATTCTTAAGCTATAACACATGGGTAGATATTTAACCACTGTTAAGTTGGTTTTAGATGTAGTAAATAAGGTATTTGATAGGTAAGTAATAAAATTGGTAGATAAAATAAGTTTTCTTTAACTCCTCTAAAATAAATTTCCATCTATAATAAAATTCTCGTTATCCCAAAGTGGGGATTGTACGTACTTTTAGTTTCATTCAGGAAGTATTTATTGAATGTCTGTTATGTTTCAAACAAGTTTCTCAGTAACTGTTGTCATTTAGGAAGACATGAAATCTGAAATTTGATCAGATGTTATTATTTGACAATATATTTATAGTAAACTAGTCTTCCTTATCATAATATTCATAGTTTAGTAGACTCTAGAAATATCTTCCCTAAGTCTTCATCTTTTCAAGCTAAATATCTCACCTTAGCCTAATTTCACAAGTCTGTCCCCATATTTCACTTGCTCTGACCAGAGCTTTCTCTCTGTAGTTCCATTCTTAATATGCAGTGATCAGATTGCACATAATGTCCAGATTTTGTACAAGGACAAGAGGAGGATAAAACCTTGACGTCTCTGCTTCAGTTGCTTATCTAAAACCACATTTCTTCCTTAATGTGCAGGGCTATCTGGTGGACACATACACAGAAGTGCCTTCAAAGGAGGTACAAGGACCAGTGTTTTGAATACAGCCAAGAGGTCAGCCAAACGCCATATAAGAGCATAGCGCTTTAGTCTTTTAGGGGAGGGAGGAGAGCCTTGTGGGAGCAGAATAATCTAGTCACTTGTAGACCTTACCCATTTTGGCCATAATTTCCATCAATGGTATACTTTTTGAGCCAGCTGCTTCTCTGACTTAATGATTTCATGTCATCTGTAAATTGGGTATTTCATTATACACACTTTCATTTTTTTTTTTTTTTTTTTTTTGTGGTACGCGGGCCTCTCACTGTTGTGGCCTCTCCCGTTGCAGAGCACAGACTCCGGACGCGCAGGCTCAGTGGCCATGGTTCACGGGCCCAGCCGCTCCGCGGCACGTGGGATCTTCCCGGACCGGGGCACGAACCCGTGTCCCCTGCATCGGCAGGTGGACTCAACCACTGCGCCACCAGGGAAGCCCCACACTTTCATTTTTAATTTAAATTAGTCCCTGGGATATAGCACTGTTTACAGTTTCCCACCCAGGTAAGTGATCTCTGATCTTTATTCTCTTCTCTGTGGCTATCTGGGTTCTCTGACAAAACAGTGCACAGGGCGGTGAAGTCATAGTCCTAGACCAGAAATGCTCACATTTTTCAAGGTTTAATATACTATAGCTGGCATATTCACTTTAGAGAGACACATGCTCTATAGTGTACCTCGATTTTGATGAGATTGTTTTTACACAAAAAGCCAATACTGCCACAAAGTTGTTTCCTGGTGTAGAATTAATAAAAGCATTTCATAAGCATGTCAGAAATGATATGTCATTTATAAACCTTAAAAAAATATTCTAGTAAGGAAAAAGTGGTTCTTTAAAAAAAAATCAATGTTTTATTTTTTAAAAATATCTTCACCTCTCCAATCCAGACCAAGTCATGGTACTGGGTACGCTTTATAGTCCCATTGTAAGCATTTTATCAGCAGGAACTGTGTTTTATTCTTTGAATCTTCCAGGACCCTTCACATAGTAGGCATTCACTAAATGTTTGATGACTCTTAAGCTGATGGTGACGTTTCTCCCAACTTAAAATAATAAAACTTTTAAGACAAAAGTTAAAATAACAGTATGAAGAACAATCCAGATTAAACAATTAACTTTTTACCATATTTGTTCTCTTTCTATATAATATGCATTTTTTCTGACTTATTTATTTATAAATTTGTTTTATTTTTATTTATTTTTGGCTGCGTTGGGTCCTTGTTGCAGTGCGTGGGCCTCTCACTGCGGCGGCCTCAGCTGCGGAGCACGGGCTCTAGAGCGCAGGCTCAGCAGCTGTGGTGCACGGGCCCAGCCGCTCTGCGGCATGTGGGATCACCCCGGACAAGGGCTCGAACCCATATCCCCTGCATCGGCAGGGAGACTCCCAACCACTACGCCACCAGGGAAGTCCTCTGACTTATTTTTAAAAAGTCTTTTACATTGCAATACTTCACTCCTAAATACCTAATATGGCCACAGGAGTTAAGTTTCTGTATCTTACATAAAGTTCTGAGTAATAGGATCTTATTATTTATTTATTTATTTGCTGTACGCGGGCCTCTCACTGTTGTGGCCTCTCCCGTTGCGGAGCACAGGCTCTGGACGCGCAGGCTCAGTGGCCATGGCTCACGAGCCCAGCCGCTCCGCGGCATGTGGGATATTCCCGTACCGGGGCACAAACCCGTGTCCCCTGCATCGGCAGGCGGACTCTCAACCACTGCGCCACCAGGGAAGCCCAATAGGATCTTCTTGATCAAGTGGCTTGGCTTTTTTAATAATATGAGTCCCCCGGCATCTCAGAATCTTGGCGGCACAAATAAAAAACAAATGAGCCTGAGAAAAAAGATGCTTCCATGGATTTACATGGACATACATGATAAATACTACAGAGAAGAAATGGATGGGGATTTTAGGGGTTGGCAGTTGGGGATTGTAAATTTCCATAGGTTGGTTAGGCAAGGTGACAGGGAATGAGCTGTATGGCTATCTGGGGGGAGGTTTCTGGAGGCAGAACTAGTGCAAAAGCCCTGAGGTGGGAGTGTGCCCGGCAGGCTCTAGGAGTGGCAAGGAGGTAGGTGTGGCTGGGTGGAGTGAGCAGGACGTGAGATCAGAGGTAATGAAAGACTGGCATTTACTCCAAAGCAGGAGTAATCAAAGAGTTTTGAGCAGAGGCAGGTTAGGATCTGATTTGTGTTTGAAAGAATCCCTTTTGGTGTTCTATTCTGTAAAAGGGGCAGGAATGGAAACAGGGAAGGCAATTAGGAGGCCACTGAAATTGCAATAAACTGAGAAAAGCTGTTGGTGTAGCAGTGGAGATGGTCAGAATCTGGTTGTATAGGTGCCATGTTAGGATTTGAGGGGCCCAAAAAATAACACCCTCCTCCCTATCCAAGTTTGGAACTGAGGGTTGGATGCAGGAGTCAGGTTGATGGAGATCAAAGTAACTCTTACTAATAAAACTGGAGAATGTGGCTTCAGAGCTGAGGCCAGGTCAGCTCACTAATACTCTACCTCTGAACTAAACTCACTCCTTCACTGGCTGGGCTGACTACAGGCTACTCCCTGCACAGGGCAGAGAGCAGCCCAGAACAGACTCAGCTGGGAGAGTCCACAGAAAAGGAACTAGAGGGGTTTGGGCCATGGGTGCCTAGTTCTTCCCTAAAGATAATCTCAGAAAATCACTCTTTCACCAGTGGGTGGAGAAAGAGGCAGGAGAATTACTTATGGAAGCTGTCCAAATATGAGAAGTGTGGAATAGGGGATAGGTGTTCCTCCCACCACCATCTTTTAACTATAATTCCATGCCAAAACAATCTTACACTCTTAAACTGTGTGTGTGTGTGTGTGTGTGTGTGTAAATGTTCACATACAGTAAATAGTATGATGACCCCCCATTTTTCCCTTAACCAGCTAAAACAATCTTTTTTTTGTTTCTGTTAAATTTTTTTAAAAATAAATTTATTTTATTTATTTTTGGCTGTGTTGGGTCTTTGTTGCTGCACATGGGCTTTCTCTAGTTGCAGCGAGCCGGGGCTACTCTTCATTGCAGTGCACGGGCTTCTCATTGTGGTGGCTTCTCTTGTTGTGGAGCATGGGCTCTAGGTGCACGGGCTTCAGTAGTTGTGGCACGTGGGCTCAGTAGTTGTGGCACACGGGCTCTAGAGCACAGGTTCAGTAGTTGTGGCTCACGGGCTTAGTTGTTCCACGGCATGTGGGATCTTCCCAGACCAGGGCTCAAACCCATGTCCCCTGCACTGGCAGGCAGATTCTTAACCACTGTGCCACCAGGGAAGTCCCTAAAACAATCTTTAAATCACACACACACAGACACACCCCAATTAACTCATGACAACACAACAAATATTTTTGGTTTTAGAATATTCTGGAAAAATTAAGTCTTTATGGAAGTTAGTACACATCAATAGTACAAGAATTGCTGATGACTTGGCTAAAATTCGATAAACCACCACAGAGATAATCAAAATATACAAAAGAAAAGTTGAAACTGTAAGTTCAGACAGTGGGTTTTAATTTAGTAAACTACTGTGTACTTAGGTGAAAACCAATTAACACTGGAATTGCATTACAAATTTGAAATTGTAATGAAGCAAATAGTTTTCATGATGGAACTGAAACACAAATATCAATAAAAACTAAAAAGTTCCCACTCCAATTAGGTTTCAAAATATTTGCTCTGCAGGTGGAACTCAGAGAAACAACAAAAACATTTAGAATTAACTCAGTAGCTGAATAGAAAACCTAATTTCATACAGTTAGCTGACAATTGTATAGTAGTTTGAAAAAAGCTCTTCTCCTTGTTTGATGTCCCTGAGTGCGACAAGAATGACACATCGAAGTGGACTGAAAACAAAAAGAAACACAGAC